AAAACAAGCTTGTTCGGTCTGCGTTCAGTACGAGAAATATTGATATCAAAAAGGGATAAGATATGAGGTTGAAAATGGATGGATTTGAAAAGAATTGTAATTTGAAGTTTACAATGTACAATGTAACTGTGTGTACAGAAATACTGCTCTAAGTGGTGTGTGAGATTTACGGCTTCTTGACATCGGTTTTCAAAATCATGGGCTGACCTGTAGCATGATGTCTACCCCCCCCCCACCCCATCCCGGCCGCAACCCCCCCCCCCCCTCAGTCAAATCCTTGACACGCCACTGACATGCACAGTTCTGCTCAATGAAATCCAGTCACAGCATCACTAAAGTACGAGCTGGGCGTTGCGCAGCCCTAGACCTGCGAACACTGGGCTGCAAAATGGTGCAAGGCCCAAACTTGAGTGACGCGACTGGATTTCATTGAGCAGCACTGCCAGTACTTAGTTGTTAGCAGTGAGAAGTGCTTACAGAGATGAATCAGTTCATGCATTCACATCAATCGTATTGAGAGCTGACTCTGGGAATGCAGTGGGTTCAGTTAGATGGACAGTCCTGAGGTTATAACCAGATCTACATGATGATTCTGTAGATCTACAAGAAATGCAGGTGCCACCGGCGTGAAGCACTGTCATGGTTCACTAGATTATTGCTAGGGGGTTCAGTTCCAGCCTGGGTCAGGTGAAAACTGCAGTCACAACTCGCGTGTACATTTTCAATGGGGCCCGCGTGAAAGCTCTTTGGCCTGACTTCGAGCCCGCCCGCTTCTATCTGATCCCGTGGCCAGTACTCCCTTGTCAATGCTATTTTAGGTAGCTGAGGTCATCGCCTTTCCATTCATGCCACACATGCCATGCTTGAACAAAAAGGGAGGAGCCGTGGTTTGCACAGAGGCATAGCGAAGTACTGATCTCAACCAGATTCATTGTCGGCCCCGGGAGGTACACCCAATTTTAGTGTTCAGCAGCCTCAAATTAGTCTAAAACAAGAGGATTCCAGAACATTTAGCCTCGCACTGTATCGCAGTAGAAGGAAAATTATCACAGAAGCCAGCCCACAGCGATTTCCCGGTGTTGGACGTAAAAATCGAGTGAATTGCACGCTCACTGTAGAAGCTGTGACGGTGAAAGCATGTGAGTTGTGCAAGCAGGCACACCCGACATGCATGCCGTGCAGCACATCCATGCACACGGCGCCATGCATGTGCACATCCTGTACCGCCATGCACTTCAATTCGCACGCGCATCTATGCACCAAATAGTGCAGTGCTGGACGGAAACCACACCGTCCCCATTCATACTTGAATTGCTTTCTGTGACTGCTCAGTTGTTCATTTTCCAAACTTCAATCATAGCTTTAACTTTGGTTTAGGTAAAGTAAAAAGTAATTTATCGTGTCCGTTCCTGAAGGGAACTCACGACGGCCGCTAACACCCGGTAACCCCTAGCGGCATTGCCTTTGGATTGCCTTGGAATTTATGTTTCAAACTTTCGCAGGTCGTTTCTGAAACCTTCCCGGTTCACAAAAATAGCGTTTCATGCGAAACTTTCGAATATGATTTTTCGAGTGAAGTTCCTATTATTGCTTTGCATCGTAGCTGCTGATGAGTTTTGTTTTTCTCAAGTTCTGCAGTTTACTTCGAAATCGCAAACATTGCTTTAGTCGGAGTCAGTTGGTCTCATTGCTACGCCGGCCGCAGCTATAGTGCAGCATTCCAGAGAATACCACTTTCCAGACAAAATGTTCAACTGAGACTAAGTATAGTAGTCCTTGGAGAGAGAAGATTGCAAGGTACTTTGGCGGCAGAGTTAAATTTGAACATTTCCATGGAATTATTGAGCCCAAGGCTACAAGCCATTATTCTATGACCTCCAAAAGATCTCACTAAGTCAACATAGGCATCAACACCATTGTGGTACATCCTCTATCGGTGGAACATAACTTTGTTACTAGTCATAGAGTTCTAGTACAACCACTGGTAGGAGATAAGCCCGGGGTTCTTGTTTGTAATAGCTGCAACCGGGGCATTATTTTTGAACGTGAACTTATCCCTCTATCATTGCTCAGTGAACAGAACAGTCTGAGAACACTACCAGTACTATGATTTTTTAACTTACTTTCTCCGTCCAGTTAAGCAAAACTTCTACATAGGGTTTTGAACTCGGATAGCGTTTTAGTGTTCCGTTTATGATCTTTCTATAGGCAATAGACACACATGTCGGTGATCTATCCCCCCCCCCCAGATAGGGTAGCCATGGTGACGGCCATTACTCTGATAGGCTTAGAACCTCCGATATGCGTGGAGTCCTTTCGAAAAATTTAAGAAGTATAGCCCTGTCTTGACAGGATGTCACCAGAACACACGCACAGGTGCACGACACCGAAGTGAGAAATGAGGAACAGAGCCTTCTTAACAATCATTGTGGTTCGTTCCTTGGCGCAGAGGGATTGCAAATATGCCTGGCAAGAAAGAAAGAGTTAGGGATAGAGCCGCTCGTGTGCTGAAAAGCATATCACCGCCAACAACACCAGTTACTGTGCGCACCGGACAAAAAGACATGAAGACCCCAATCAAAAGGACGTCACTCTTCATTCCGCAGAACTCACGGGAGGTAGACCGCTGACAAAGAATCTGTTTGCGCCGCCCTGCCCAGCCTTCCCTTCTCTAAATCTCAAGGTAACTGTTGTTTACAAACAGCTCAAGTGGTACCATGAGCAAGTATCAAGTGACGTTCCAGTGTTGGAACTCAACTGGTCACGCAAGCAGAAAGAGTTGAGTGCGTTCGATTGAGTTATGACCGCGAAACGATGTTGAATCCATTCATGAATGGTCCCTGGCTATTCACATCACCCCATGTTAGGGTGAATGCATTCCAAACCGTTTCCAGGGCTACATGACATGAAATCAAACGACAAGATTCCATTCATGAATCAATTCATGGCAGGAATCGAACGCACCCAGTGTGGCCGAGGAGACGGTCAAAAGTTCACCACTGAAATTGCACAAAAGCTGATTGTTGTAAACAATCAGAACTGGGGTCGATTGTCGTTGAACTGACTAGCCAACAAGCTGGTAAGGGAAGGAGTAAATGTCTCACCTGTGACTGTTTGAACTAGGTGCAAGGTGCTTCAGATGCGGAGACGGCGATGATACATCAAGCCGGATTTGACAACCGGCGCTTAAAATAAAGCGCATGAAATTTGTCCTCTCCCAATTGAATGAGCAGACCATGAAATTCTCCGACCTGAAAAACGTGACACATGGAGGCGAGAAGTGGTTCTACATGATGCATGACAAGCATGCAACAGAAAATGTGGTGGTTTCACGAGGATGCAGCATACACAACCTGTGATGCTGGTACAGTCAAACCTAGCTTATCCGGTCCTCATTTATCCAGATCCCTTGCCATCCGGAAGAAAATAATTATTGTTAGTTACCGATATACAGCATATGCCATGCATACATACAGTATGTGTGTTCGATTATCCGGTTCCCTCGCCTATCGGATTTCTTTTGTGGAAAACGGATGTGTGCGGTTATGCGAGGTCTGACTGTATGCGTCCAACCATGTGGAAATGTTGGGTCTGGGAAATGGAAGTTTGAAAAGCCGCGTGGCTCGAAGAAGTGCCCAGGAGCCGGCCAGCCACTGCTGTACCAGCACGATGGTTTGTGTCCGCACACAACAAAAATCAATAAGGGTGTGTTTGCAGGACAGGGGAAAGCGAAAGGATTTGACATTCAGGTTTTCAGGGGAAAGCGAAAGGATTTGACATTCAGGTTTTTGTTCAGGCTGGACAAAACCCCGATCTCAACGCGGACGACTTGGCGTTCTTCCACAGCCTGCAGACCGACGTGTCACCGATGGTGAATGAAACCAGAAAAGGAGCTCAGAAGTTCTGCAGGCTTTGGAAGCGTGCTGGCAGAAGAACCCCACTGCAAAGATGAAACACATTAAGTTTTGGTTGTGCCGCTATGGCATCTTCCATGGGATTCTGGAGAGCGGCGGAGAGAAAAACTGCCGGCAGCGGCACCGTGCAAATCGTCAAGTTCACAGTTCAAGCAAAAAAGTACGATCAAATATTTTCTCGGCATATTTTAATGTTTACAGAGCGTGAGCTGTCAGTGTGTCAGCACTGCAGACGGGAGTCAGCGAGGAAGCAGACTCAATGCAGGGAATGAGTTGTGATCGGATTCAGATGAAGAGAGAAGTTGGACCACTTCGAAACAAACTGTGTGACATCTATAAACTACTATTTCTCGTATGCTGCTCTGTTCTCCCCTCTGCAAACTGTGTTGTAGCCATTGAATGCTTTTGACGGAACTGTAAAAAAATGCAACAAAGTTTCGCTTAACAAAGGAAGTAGGTCATACATCCCTTTTGAAAAAGATTTAAAACTTGCAATAGGTTTATTCATACTTTCTGTTTCCTTGGTAGGTATCACCATGACAACAGTTGGCAAGCAGAAAACGCAGCCATTGCAGCACACAGTGGGAGCTTGTCAGGCAGACCAACAACGGACGTCCAACAGATGTGAGCCAATCTTCAAACAACCAGCACCAGCTGAAACAACCGCCAATGTAACTAAAACGGGTGCAACATCCAATACAACATTGGCTACAACACAGGATTCAACAAGATCAACAACTTCAAGCCAGTCATCTCTACCGGACAAAGACCGACATTTCACTGGCAGGAATGACATTGTTACAGAGATCAGTCACAACATTCTCACAACAAAGTCCAAGTCATCACCTACACGAGTGCAGAGTCTTGTGGCACCAGCTGGTTTTGGTAAGACGTCCGTAGCCATTGCTGTGGGACATGTATGTCGCAGTGCTGGTTGTCGTGTGGAGTTCTTTGACTTACGCGGTGTAGCTGGTGTTGACGCTGTCCAGGCAATGATTCAAAACCGACTCGAAACAAACCCAGCTTCATCTGAAACTACTGGCAAGACAACGAAATCAACTGATGGCAGGGATGATGATGGTGGCAAACACCACATGTTATGTATCCTAGACAATGCCGAGGATGCTATCCAGGCTGGTGCTGATAAAGATCTCCAACTACAAGATGTTGTGGAGCAACTACTTCGACTACAACCCCATGTCCATGTCCTACAAGTCGTGTTTACTTTGACCTACACGCTGCCCAGTTTAAACTACAACAACACCGTCTTGATGGTCTGACAAAGGTTTGTGCTGTTGATCTTCTCCATGGTCTATGTGTTGAAGGTAGTCTAAGCATCGAAGACGCACAGAGGTTAGTGGATCATTGTGGAAATGTTCCACTTGCTGTACGCATTACAGCTGGTCTTCTACAAGGTGGTCGATTAACTCCAACCAGGCTGCTATCGTTGTTCAAGAAGATTGGTCTTGATGTGTTCAACGATGATGGTCTGAAACCGAATCATCGAATTCTGCAGCTGTTGAAAGTAGCATACAACACACTACGTCAGGATGACAAAGAATCATTCCATGCTCTATCTCAACTGCACTCCTCCTTCTCATCTAAATGCGCTTGTGTGATGGTGGATTTTGTAGGTGATGATGTTGATGTGGTTCATCTTCTACGTTTTGATCCGTTGATCAAGATTTGTTTCCTAGATTACAATTCGTGTTTGGATCGCTACTCGTTACAACCATTTATCGCCGAGTTTGGTCGTTACCAATGCCCAGAAGACAAGCAACACATGTACCAACGGCGAATGTGCAAGCATTTCCTGGGCTTTGTGAAGGAAGTTGATGGCTGTAGAGGGTGTGGTGCAGACAAAGCAGTGTATTGGAGTTACCAATTGCTTCAGGAACAGGTGAATATACAGATGGCATTGTCTGTTGTTGATGTTTTGTCTGGCGATGACTTGCTTCCTTTCTCTGGATTAGCAAAGTGGTCGGGTATCCTAGTTCTCTTGTGTGGGAAACCAGCATTTGATGGAGGGTTTGGGGACAGGATTCAAAGATTGGAGAAAGCACCGCTATCCGTTCAAGCTGAGGGCATTTGCAGCTCGGTCCTGTATTGTATTTACAGTCCAAGCATTGCAGATTCTGATGTCACTTTTGAGAGTTTGGATTCCAGAACCCAAATGCTCCTGGAGAAATCTGAACAAGAACCGACAGGAGTGGAGTCACCGCTGCAGCTACCTTTGATGCAACTTTCTCTTGAGTCATGCAGGCTATCCATGTCTCTGGACATCGACTGCAGGGAAGGACAGGTTGAGCCCAGCCAGGAAACACTATCCCGTCTGCAGGTGGTGTACCAGCGTGTTACAACAACACTGGGAATGGGTCTTGCAACAGGTGTCACTGAATGTGCCCTGAAACTCATTCAACTGTATTGTTCCACTCTGCTAAACAAGGATATACCCAATGTACAGGTGGTAGAAGACCTTGCTGAGAGAGTGATGTCATCACGCTTCCTATCACAGGATGGTGCAGTCAGGTCATGTGCTATAATGTACGGTTTTCTGCTACAATGCATTGCTGTGATCCTGGGCAAGGTCATGTCAAGTTCCTGCAGCAGTGAGTGGATTATTTCACCATCATTGATTACACCACTGGGTATACCACTGTGCAAGTGGAAACATGTACCAACTGCTATCAGCCGCACGGTCAATACCTATGACGACCACACTACTGTGTCTGCTCTTCGGTTACAACGGTACCTGCACTCCATGGATGATGACACAGTAACCACACTACTGGACATGTACTTGGGTGATGATTACTACAACCTGTACATATCCTTGGTAGTTAATGGAAGGGCACACACAACTCCAACGGGTCTCACTCTACCAGCACAGCATCCCTACAACATTGTGATGGACTATGTCAGGAGATGGTGTCATGGCTCAAATCCAGCAGATCACACAACAGCACTGATTAACAACTGTAGCCAGAACAAGGTACCTGATCTTGAAGTGATGCAGTCTTGTATTCTGATGGCTAGAGCAATGCTCAATTTGGAGGTAAGCTGGTAGTGCAGTGTACACAGTTCAGGTTACCATAACTGTTTTTCATCCACACTCCACTCTGAATGGAACATTGTATTGCAAACCAGTGTACTCAGTAATGATCTACTGTATAGTGTCTGTCTCTCTAAGGTTGATTTCTTGAAGAACACACAGAGGGGAATGTGATAATTTTGAACATTGTAAACTGGTGAAGTGGAATTTGTTCCATTCTGCTATATCAGCCTGATTTGTTATTATTGTGCATGATGTTCTCTGTTTCGACTGTACAGGCCTTAGTTCAGTGACTTTCTTTTCTACGCTTTTCTTTGTTGTGTGCTTTGCTCTAGAATACTCTCTTTGCGAATGTTGTTAGTTCCACACTCTTCCCAGCGTTGAAGTCACTTGTTAAGGATCTCAGAGCTTGCCTGCCAAGCAATTGTGCAACTGGTCTCTCAGTGTCTGGAATTGTGTACTTTCCACCACAAACTAGAGACCTGTCTCTACTATACTACTCTCTCATTGCTGCCCTACATCATCAATCCAAGAGAGGCCTAGTGAGCAATGATCACCACATTGCACTACAGGAATGGTGTCCACGTGTAGCGGCATGTTTTGTCTGCTATGACCTGGACAACATCGAGGCATGTCCTCGTTGTGACATGGCTTACCTGTGTGGTAAACATCGTCAAACTGATGAACACCTACGTGAACACAACCAACACTGTGCTATGCTGGCAGTACTCAGACATCGCATACTGCAGTAAGTTAGAGTGTTATCATCAACTGACATGACAGATTGTGAGGGATGTGTGATGAACTGGTTTGTTAGTGCCTTGGTATCGTGAGAAAATTACGGCTCAGTCTGCGTGTAAACGTTTCTCGGTGGGGTGGGGGGCAGGTGTGTGTGTGTGGGGGGGGGGGCAGTGCCGGTGTGTGTGTGTGTGGGGGGCGAGGGGCGGGGATAGAGGTGTGTGTGGGGGGGGGGGGGGAGGGAGGGTTCGCTGGTGTGTGTGTGTGTGTGGGGGGGGGGGGTGTATGTGTATGTGCATGTGTGTGTGTGTTGGGTGTGCCTAGCTAAGAAAGAAAATGAACTTCTTGGTGATGGCTTGGAAAAATGAACATTGGCTATGAGAATCGTCACTGATAAGACTGGAAGATTGAAAAGTGCGATGTCGTTAACCACCCATTATAGAACATTGGGCCGAGCTAGGGCACTAGTGAATTGGGCACAAAAAACCCATAGCTATGTGAATAAAAATAATAATATCAGCGGCATACTTGAAGTAGTGAGGGTGGTAAGTATAATTTGTCATGTGACCAGTATTGATGGTGGATATGCTAAAATACATATACATGTAGAGTAGTGATGATACTAGCATTGAAACTGGAGAATGGGACGGTCAAGGGTGGACTGTGAGGAGACTAGCAACAGCAGTGAGGATGCACACATGCACTGCAGACTTAACCTTTTTACTGGCATTTCTTCGGTTCGTCCGGAATCAAAACGTTGGCTGGGGTGGTGCCAAGTAGCATGGAGTGGCGCTCGTACGACTTTGATTTACGGAAGTGACTGTCCGTGCCATGCAGCAAATCAAAGATTCCCAGCATGCCAAAGTTCTGGTTGAACCTGCATAGCAGCAGCCAACATAAAAATAATGTCAGTTTTTATAATTATACGAGGTACACAAACTCACCGGCAGGCACATGGGGCTAGCATGGAGTCAGCAGTACATGGGGCTAGCATGGAGTCAGCAGTACATGGGGCTAGCATGGAGTCAGCAGTACATGGGGCTAGCATGGAGTCAGCATTACATGGGGCTAGCATGGAGTCAGCAGTACATGGGGCTAGCATGGAGTCAGCAGTACATGGGGCTAGCATGGAGTTAGCAGTACATGGGGCTAGCATGGAGTCAGCAGTACATGGGGCTAGCATGGAGTCAGCAGTACATGGGGCTAGCATGGAGTCAGCAGTACATGGGGCTAGCATGGAGTCAGCAGTGAGACGGTGCTGGTGAGGTCTGCCATGCTCAACTGACCAGAGGTCTCGGCATCATCGAATAGCAGACTCACCAAACTGAGGGTATTTTAGTGCATTGGATCAGAATCAGAAAATACATATAGGAACATTCATGGTAAGAAGAGACAACAACCATGACACTGGTATGCAAGTGAACTGCTGGAAACAGGGAGTATTTCTTTTTCTGTTGTTGGGGGCAGGGACTGGGGGAGTAATACAGTCGTCACTAAAGAAATCCAGCCAATGCCATGGATACCTATACAGTGACATGGTGCCTGTCACAATCGCATTCATGCATTTACAGTCATTAGAGGGTCTACCAGCATAGCACTGAACTAAAACAGTCCGCCGCTCTGCACTCTGCCTGCTGCAGTCGAGTCAAGCACAGCACAGACTGTGCACTGCAGAGTGCAGTCCCGACAGCAGAGCATGTGCCATTCACTAGGCTAGTACACTAGAACTAGCAGTGGCAGGGCATGCTGCCCATGCACAGTACAGCTACCGGTAACAGTGGCAGTGTATGCTGCCCATGCACAGTACAGCTACCGGTAGCAGTGGCAGTGCATGCTACCCATGCACAGTACAGCTACCGGTAGCAGTGGCAGTGCATGCTGCCCATGCACAGTACAGCTACTGGTAGCAGTGGCAGTGCATGCTACCCATGCACAGTACAGCTACCGGTAGTGTAGCGGGCCTGGAGGCAAAACAACCTAACAACTCGAAACTAACTAACATTAACAATTATTCTCTCTCTCTCTCTAGAAAGGCAAAACTGTCTTTAGCAATAAAACTCTGAACTCATTGTGAAAGATAAAATAAACACAATTTATGGAAAATAATCACAAACAGCAACGTACTGTCATGCGACCGTTGTATGGTAGAACGAACGTCGTAATGAACAGTACGCTGAGCGTATACGCAAATGCTGAGCTTTTAGCGTGACCAACGCGTGACCAACGCTACAGTAGCAGTGGCAGTGCATGCTGCCCAAGCACAGTACAGCTACCGGTAGCAGTGGCAGTGCATGCTACCCATGCACAGTACAGCTACCGGTAGCAGTGGCAGTGTATGCTACCCATGCACAGTACAGCTACTGGTAGCAGTGGCAGTGCATGCTACCCATGCACAGTACAGCTACTGGTAGCATTGGCAGTGCATGCTGCCCAAGCACAGTACAGCTACTGGTTTTTTTTTTTTTTTTTTTTTTTTTATCACATTGCACATACCTACGGAAGAAGGGGAGACAAAACGAAGACGAAACAAAAAAGACAACAATGGGTGTGTAGGCGCTACATGAGCTGCGCTGGTGAGATGCAGTGGACTCCCCCGACCAAGGGTCTCGGGATCGGCGTACACAGCAAGCACCATGGGAGAGGGGGGCGAGAGGAATGGCGGAGAGAGAGAGAGAGAGAGAGAGAGAGAGAGAGAGAGAGAGAGAGAGAGAGAGAGAGAGAGAGAGAGAGAGAGAGAGAGAGAGAGAGAGAGAGAGAGAGTAAGTTACATTTATAAAGACAGGTAAGTCTAACAAATGAGGACTGAGACCTCTACAACAGGGTTTTTACGCCTGAAAGCAGGTGCATGATTTAACAAGCAGGTTGTCAGTCTAGATTTTATGCGCAGATGGAGAAAAAGCGCAGAATTTTTGTAATGAGATGAAAAGCAGAAATAATAAGAAATAATAAGAAAAGATGAAATGAAAGCCTGCTCACAACCCCGCCCAGCCTTGCGAACTGGGTATGGTGGATTAAGAACCCGGTTCAACGCTCGAGCAAGCGCTCTCCACTCAAGGTGTTCACAGCAACTGATAGGAACTCATATGGGGAAATTATAGAAAAGAAATAATAAGTTAACAACCACACAAGCCGACCTGTTTGGGAGCTATTACGCGTTGTATTATCAGGGCATAGGCAACAATTGCCGCATGCAGTATGCAATACTATGGACCAATGCCGTAGTATCGCAGGCAACAATTGCCGCATGCAGTATGCAATACTATGGACCAATGCCGTAATATCGCAAGCACCAATGTGCGTTAGACTGGCCAATGCCAGGGCAAATGGGGGCAACAATTGCCCGGCGTGTCAATACACGCATACGGTAGGGATGCACTTGTGAGCACATGTAGGCGCACTTGGCTCAATGCCGGCCTGACCCACGATCCCTACCGTTCTCCCAAAATACAACATGACCCAAACAGGAATTATCGGCATTACTATAGTTATAGTAGCGTTACTATAGTTATAGTATAATAGGTATATCATATGTACACTACAGCTGTTGCTAGGGCCGTCCAATGCGGCTACCCATTAGCATAACGGGCAGAGACTAGAACAATGCCGCTGGCAATGCTCTGTCTGCGACAGGGGTGCGGACATAGCGGAGGTAGGCAGAGCTTTGCCACCTGCCGGCGGTCTTCAGCACGTACTCAGGCACGCCAGCTTTGCCTGCCAGCGTTGCAGCGCCTCGTCTGAGGCTGTGGCTGCGCACGTCTTTGTTAGGCAAGGCTGTTTGTAGTAGCCTGTTGATGTTATGCGGCTTCAGGGGCGTGCCGTCATCATAGCGATAGAGCGGGCCAGGTGCCGAGCCACGGGCTGCTAGGTAGCTGGTGGCTGCCGTGTGCGGGCATGTCGGCGAGCCTGTCCTCCTGACGCTAATGTCCTGGCCGCTGCCGTATTGGCTCGTCTTTGTCGCACGCAGGCGCAGCTCCACGCGGTCTGGGTACATGGTCGCATCGCTGTACTCAAGGCCGGCGCCCCGTGCCGTGAAGGTGTACTCGTTGACTCTGAGCAGCCCGTGGAAGGCCAGAGTCACGGCGCTCCAGAGCATGGCGCGGTTGTGCGGGCTAGGCACGGTGGACTGCAGGTAGTGCTGTACGCCAGCCAGATCGTCCAAAGTTGCGGCCCGCGTCGTCAACTGCTGAAGGGTGGACTGCGCTGGTTGTGTCGGCACTGCGTCGGCAGTTGGGCTGCGAGTCCAGAAGCGTCGACAACCTGACCCAAACAGGATTTATCTACATTACTATTACACTACAATTGATGTGAGTGCCGTCCAATGCGGCTGCCCATTAGCATCGTGGGCAATGCGCTCAACGTACCGGATATGGAACAATGCTGCTGGCACTGATCAGTCACTGGGTATGGCTTGCCCTAGTGCGGGGTGACAAGCGTTCGGAGCGCTGCAGCGAAGCGTATGTTGTGCTGGAGCTGCCCGCCAGGCCCTGGCGGATGAGGTCCATGGTTGCGTCATCAACTGCTGAAGGGTGGACTGCGCTGGTTGTGCCGGCACCGCTTCGGCAGTTGGGCTGCAAGTCCAGACGCGCTGACAACCGGACCCAGACAGGATTTATCTGCATTACTATTACACTGCAATTTATGTGAGCGCCGTCCAATGCGGCTGCCCATTAGCATAGTGGGCGATGTGCTCGAAGTACAGGATCTGGAACAATGCTGCCGGCACTGATCAGTCCCTGAGGTTGGCTTGCCCTGGCGCAGGGCGACAAGCGTTCGGAGTGCTGCGGCGAAGCGCATGCCATGCTGGAGCTGTCCGCCAGGCCCTGGCGGATGAGGTCCATGGTTGCGTCGTCAACTACTGGAGGGTGGACTGCGCTGGTTGTGTCGGCACCACTTCGGCAGTTGGGATGCGAGTCCGGCAGCGCTGACAACCTGACCCAAACAGGATTTATCTGCATTACTATTACACTGCATTTGATGTGAGTGCCGTCCAATGCGGCTAGCCATTAGCACAGTGGGC